AAAAGATTGGTTTTGCATTGTGACAGTATTTATATATATATATATATAATTAAGCATGTTAATAAGACCTTTTTGTTTAGGATTAAATCAGCATAAATTACCTTTAAAAAAATTAACTATATTATCACACAGCTAAAGTTCACCACATAAAGCAATATTTGTACTAGATAGCAAATCTCGCACAATGTAACTACAGTAGTCAACATTTGAAGTGGATCAAAACCTTTCATCAAAGTCATACGTTATATCCTCGTTAAAGGTGTACAACACCCGCTCTCGTCTCAGGACAACGTTGATGAACTTTTTTGATCCACTTCAAATGTCGACGACTGTATATTGTCGTTCTAATCTGCTGTAGATTTGAAGATTTTCTGTAAAGTTGCTGTGAAACGATGGTATCGTACACACACACACACACACACACATTAGAGTTGACAGAGTCCTGAAGCTTGAGCAACAGCGCGTCTCGTTCTCAAACGGTCTGGTCTCGTGTGTGTCTCGTCAGGTTCTCAGTGTGAATAAGAGTGTTTCTATGATGGACCTGCAGGATTCGCGCATCAACAGCGTGTCGAACCTGCACTCGGTGAACGACCTGCTGAACTCGTCTCAGGGCTCCCTGGCGGGCCTGGGGTTCGGTCCGCTGGGTGGCGCCCCCCTCAGGGCCGGAGGGCGCGTGTCGGCGGGCTCGGGCGGCTCCAGCATGTCGGGGGGGCTGCGTCTCGGCCACTCGGGCCTGACGACGGACTCGCTGTCTCAGCAGCAGCAGCAGCAAGCGGCCGCCATGAACGTGCCTCTGTCCTTCCAGAACCCGCTGTTCCACCTGGCGTCGGACGGGCCGCAGTACCACACGCCGCCACACGGGCCTGCCGCCCCCCCGCCGCTGCTGCTAGCGCCCGAGCCGGAGAACGGGCACGTGGGCTACGGCGTGCCGTCGTTCGGGCACAGCGGGTTCTCTCGCAGTGAGGATCTGTCGGCCCTGAGGAACCAGAACAGTCTGGTGCAGCCCAACATCGTGCACTCGCACAGCTACAGCGACGACTTCACGCGGCACAACCAGGCCGACTACGCCCGCAGACAGCTGTCGCTGCAGGTGCAGGTAAAGTTCCGCGCCACACATGTGTGCTAATCGTAGACTGCTAAAAAATATGGACGTAGTGTCCGTGACGTCACCAGTAGGCAGTGTTGGGGAAAGTTAGTAATGCAATACAATATTGCGTTACTCCCTCAAAAAGTAACTTATACTCCTGTTGAAATCTCTCTCTCTCTCTCTGTGTGTGTGTGTGTGTGTGTGTGTCAGGAGAATCTCCAGCAGCAGGTTCTGATGGGCATCGCCCCACAGACGGCGACGGGCACCGGCACGCCCGCCTCTCTGGCCACGCCCCCAACCACCATGCATCCCGCCCGCCAGGCCTCCATGGGCCCGCCCCCTCCTCAGCGCATGAAGCCTCAGCCCCCCCACCAGCTGTCCGTCAGCTCGGCCGCTAACTCCACCCCCCCGAAGACACGCCCCCAGAGCGGGAACCTGCTGCAGTCGCCCGAGTCCAGCTACGGCGGGAGGCAGTTGCCCAGGCAACAGCTGTCAGTCAAAGATAGCCCCGCCCCCGGGCTGCCGCATCAGTCCAGCACGGCCACGGAGAGCCCCGCCCCTCAGGGCGGAGCCAATGAGAGCGCAGAGAACACACCGAGCGGCCAATCAGCAAAAGCCTCTCAGCAAACCAACCAGCAGCATCTGCTCAAGCCAGGCGCGAACAAACAGGTACGAACGCGGTCACAGTGTCTCCTTACGTGTCCATACTGTCAAATCATCATATTAGAGTGATTTCTGGAGGATCATGTGACACTGAAGACTGGAGTAATGATGCTGGAAATACAGCTTTGATCACAGGAATAAATTACACTTTACTGTATATTCTAGGGGTGTCCCCGACTAAGGATTTTCATAGTCGAATCAGATTCGTCAAGTCCTGCCTATAGTCGACTAATAGTCGAATCATGTGTGTGGTGTTGGGGAGGGGGCGGGGCTTTAACATTTTAAAGCCGCGATGTACAGAACATCACACAAAGATATAGAAGAAAATGTATCAAAACATTTTGGATCCATAAAACTAAGAAATAACATAAATAACTGCAGAAAAGCCACACTGCAGATAGGATTTGCTAAATCGGCTGAATTGCCTGTACGAGCATGCTCTAGGCCTACAGCGCAACATCGATGCACTGAAAAATAATCAACAATTAAGAACATAATATACAATTATAAGAAATAAAAATACAAAACGAAATAAGTCAGAATCAAGTCACAAGAAGCAGAACAAATGTGTGCAAAATGCCTAAAGTGCAGGGGAACAAATATTCAAAACACAAGTCACAAATAGTTAAATTAGATCACCCTGAGTGATCAATTAATAAAATAAAAATAAAGAAATTATTAAAATAACAAAAGTATGGCCAGGATTGTCAACTTTGTCATTTTAACTGCAGAAACAACAATAAACGCTAAACTGGAGCGGCAGTCTTTAGCTAAACGTGTTCACAGTATCCAAAAATCAAATTAGAAACGGCTGAAATGTTTTGAAATCACTTGTACCTGATCGAGAAACAAAACCCAGTGTTTCACTCGGCCTGTGTCCGTTTGAGTCTTTTCACATTGTGTGCGCGGATAAAATACATTCTAAAACGCTTAACGTGAAAACGGCTTTGTCCTAAAACTGTTATATTAAAAGATCAAATTCTGTACACACCTTATTAATAAAGCATATTATATAGCCTACAGAAAAGCAGATGAGCCCAGAATATGAACGCAACGTGTTTTATTATAGGCTGCGTTAAGCATTTTCCTCCCATAGAAAACCGTTAAAGAAAAAGCTTTACGTGACTTTCAATAGGAGAAACGCGTTGTGTTCATATTCTGGGTTCATCTGCTTATCTGCACATGGAATGGTTTCTTAAGGTGTGTAGCCTAGTGTGTACACATACATTAAGCACGTAGAAGTGCCATTTAAGCGTTTTAAAAGCTTTTGTCACGATAAGCGTTTTAGATCGTCCCGAGGAAAACCAACCTGTTAACGTTGGCCGGCAGACGTGCGATCATGGTTTTCCTGATGCTAAATCCAGCCTTGGAGAATATCCTTCCTAGGCTCCTCCTATCGAAGCATCGAATCTTCGACTATTCGGGGTCACCCCTATTACTGTATATTCACATAGAAAACAGCTGATTTACACTGGAGTAATATTACACTGTTTTTACTGTAGTTATAAATAAAATAAATGCAGCTTTGATGAGCAGAAGAGACTCTTTCAGAAACATGAAATAATCTGGTTTGTGGTGTGTGTGTGTGTGTTCAGGGCTCGAAGTCTCCGTCCACGCTCAACCCCCCCACTGCTGCGTCGGAGCGTACGGTGGCCTGGGTGTCCAACATGCCTCACCTCTCCGCGGACATCGAGAGCCTGCGTGTGGACCGAGAGGAGTTCAAGCTGAAGGAGCACTCCAAGAGCATGGACGAGTCCCGCCTGGACCGGGTCAGTACTCACCCGAGTGTGTGTGTGTGTGTGTGTGTGTGTGTGTGTGTGTGTGTGTGTGTGTGTGTGTGTGTGTGTGTGTGTGTGTGTGTGTGTGTGTGTGTGTGTGTGTGTGTGTGTGCGTGTGTGTGTGTGTGTGTGTGTGTGTGCGTGTGTGTGTGCGTGTGTGTGTGTGTGTGTGTGTGTGTGTGTGTGTGTGTGTGTGTGTGTGTGTGTGTGTGCGTGTGGACCGAGAGGAGTTCAAGCTGAAGGAGCACTCCAAGAGCATGGACGAGTCCCGCCTGGACCGGGTCAGTACTCACCCGAGTGTGTGTGTGTGTGTGTGTGTGTGTGTGTGTGTGTGTGTGTGTGTGTGTGTGTGTGTGTGTGGACCGAGAGGAGTTCAAGCTGAAGGAGCACTCCAAGAGCATGGACGAGTCCCGCCTGGACCGGGTCAGTACTCACCCGAGTGTGTGTGTGTGTGTGTGTGTGTGTGTGTGTGTGTGTGTGTGTGTGTGTGTGTGTGTGTGTGTGGACCGAGAGGAGTTCAAGCTGAAGGAGCACTCCAAGAGCATGGACGAGTCCCGCCTGGACCGGGTCAGTACTCACCCGAGTGTGTGTGTGTGTGTGTGTGTGTGTGTGTGTGGACCGAGAGGAGTTCAAGCTGAAGGAGCACTCCAAGAGCATGGACGAGTCCCGCCTGGACCGGGTCAGTACTCACCCGAGTGTGTGTGTGTGGGCGTGTGTGTGTGACTTGACTTACATGTTTTTAGATAATTAATGAATTTAAAAACAATTGTTTTGATGCAAATTATTTGAAATGTTATTTTACATATAAAGAAAACACAGACCTTTATACAACCAAAAGACAAGTTTTGCATCGTAAATTTTATTACTTTAAAGTTTTATTTTGCATAAAGAAAATTAATATTTTTATGACCAAAAGTATGATTTTTCATATAGAAAATGAATATATGTAATTATTAATTTAAAGTAATTTTAATTATGAATAATAATAATAAATTCTAATTATTTTAAAACATGTACAATTTTAAACAAATAAATAATTGTCCTTATGCGAAATATTTTAAATTATATTTTGCATGAAGAAAACATTTATACGACCAAAAGTGTAGTTTTGCATTTTGTGACATTATTTTCTTAATCATTAAACACAAGCATTTTCTTGCATAAATCAGTATAAATGACTGATTCAGTGAAAATATTTTATTTCAACATACATGTTTTAAATAATTAAAGAATATAAAAATAATTGTTTTGATGCAAAATATTGAAAAAGTATATTCCACATATAAAGAAAGGCATTTATACAAGTTTTGCATTGTGAGATGAGTGAGTGACAGAAGTAAGCCGCGCCTCCTCACCCCCCGGTGTGTGTGTGTGTGCGCGCAGGTGCGCGAGTACGAGGAGGAGATCCACTCGCTGAAGGAGCGGCTGCTGATGTCGCACCGGAAGCTGGAGGAGTACGAGCGCCGGCTGCAGTCGCAGGAGCATCAGACCAGTAAGATCCTGCTGCAGTACCAGAGCCGGCTGGACGACAGCGAGAGGAGGCTCCGGCAGCAGCAGGTGCAGAAGGACTCGCAGATCAAGGGCATCATCAACAGGTCAGACCGCACACACACACACACGCCTCACTGACGCAGCAGAGCATCCTGGGAATGTGTGTGTGTGTGTGTGTGTGTTACAGGCTGATGGCGGTAGAGGATGAGCTGAGAGGGAGTGGAATGCCTGACCTCAAAACCAGATTGTTCACAGAACAGGTTTGTCACACACACTGTAACCTTCATGTCTCTCCACGAGTGTGTGTGTGTGTGTGTGTGTGTGTGTGTGTGTGTGTGTGAGCTCAGGGCTGTGAGGTATGAACCATGACTGATCATGAAGGCAGTGTATCTGTGAATCTGTTTTCTAATATCAGTTTGAGTCTTTAGTTTTGAACTCAAGTGATTCGTAATGTTACACTGATCCGTTCATTTGATATGAATCCATAAAGATCCAAATAAAAAGAGAAAATAATCAAATGTGATTATAAATAACAAAATACAAATAATTTTTATTTGTAAGATCTCACTCGATATCACCACATGATTGATAAATATTTTAACAATTTTATCACTGAAATCCCGCTCAAGTCTTGTTCAGCCAAGAACGACAACTGTGAATAAAAACTATAGTGAAAACTATAACAATTACAGTGATAACAATAACTATAGTGATAATAACTATACCATTAACCCTCTGGGGTCTGAGGTGTTTTCGGGGTCCTTGAGATGTTTTGGCATGCTCTGACATTTGTGCATTTTTCAGTTGCTTATAAACATATTAATGGCACAGGTGAAATTACACTCTATATAGCACACACAGGGCTACCATTATATGTGAGCAACATGTATGTACATGTTTGTATTTTTGAGAGAATATTGTTTATGCGTGGTTATTGAAAAAACTAAAAAATAAATTTTCTAATATATGGCCACAAATAACATACTAAATATCTGTCCACAAGACTTTTGACTAGTGGATGTTGTCGCCTAGAGTATTTGCTTCAAATTGATCTGAAAATCATTCTGGCTAATCATTCACATAAAACAATAGATTGTTTTAAATTGTGAAAAACATTTTTTTGTTTGCAAAGGCAATATGCGGATGGGCGGATCGGCCCAACCCCCTCATGAATAATTAGGCAGTTCTCACCTGAGCAGACTGCATACTAATGAGCCTTTCATTCAGGGGTGTCACACAAGAAAGAATGCAAGGACAATATATATATATAAATAAATAAATATTTATATACACACACACACACACACACACACACACATATATATATATATATATATATATGTGTGTGTGTGTGTGTGTGTGTGTGTGTGTGTGTATATAAATATTTATTTATTTATATATATATATATATTGTCCTTGCATTCTTTCTTGTGTGACACCCCTGAATGAAAGGCTCATTATATATATATATATATATATATATATATATAATATATATATATATATTGTTTGTATATATATATATATATATATATGTATATGTATATATATATATATATATATATATATATATATATATATATATATATACATACATATATATATATATATATATATATATATATATATATATATATATATATATATATATACATATACATATATATATATATATATATATACAAACAATCAAAATATAAATGAAAGCCAAAAGCACATTTTTAGTCACACATTTTAGCCATCCACATACCATTTTTAGCCATCCACCGCGGTAAAAATAAACCAGTCGCATTTCAAAGTCGTACGCGAAATGACCGCCAGGTGGCGCAAAGGGACATTTAGCAAAACGTAAGTGGGGCTAATGTCTATTAACAGTAGCCTAAGGATGAAATACTACAAGTTATGGTAATTTCCAAATAAGCCTACAACAAATTGTTGGTCATACAGATAAGATATAATCTTTTAAAACTGTAAAAGGTTAAAGTAGGCCTACACTCACAGGCTAAAGACAAAACGTTTTCTCGCTCATGTGAGAATCAAACGTTTGGTTATTTCTCAGTAACAAAATTCATAGCCGAGCGGTAGAACTGATGGTTCATCATCAAGATGACACAGGTTCAAATCCCGCACAAACATGGTCTGCTGTATATTTTATATTTATTATTGCAGAGAGATTTGTCTAGCTCTAAAACTCTGTTACACCATACAGTTTTGTTTTATATAGGCTATATATATTTTTTTATTTATTTATTCCAGGCTCTCACGCCACCCCCCCGATTTCTCACGCTGAAGTGTCAACCCGGTCGGTCAAATTCCTGAAAGATATAGTTTATCTATAGATCTACCTGTTGAGCCACTCGTGATCGACTAGTTATACCGTAAATTAGTTAAAATATCCCGTAATCTATTTAGAGCGAGCGTGCATGCGAGACAGATATTGTGCTCCAAACCGTGCGCGCGCATGGCAGAGAGGTCTGTTCCCTACAACCTAGAGTTTTTAAAAACATGGTTTTAAGTAAAGTGTGATTTGCCAGGGGGGACTGGGATTTCCTTCTGGTCTAAACATCCCTACTTCTGCTGAATTATTTTAATCCCCACACCCCTCCCTCCACAGCTAATCAATGCTATAGGCTACTTCACCAATATCAAATATATAAAATAGAGATATGCAACAGGCACGTTTAAACGAAAAACAATAAAATCAAAACCAGCGTTTCAGTTGTTCATTAGTTCCAGTGGCCTTAATGCATGCACGGCTTTTCAAAATTTCACAAAGCGTGTTGAGATTATTTTGAATGAAATATTGAAGTTTATAATTAAGTGTTTTGGCACACCACGCCGAGTGACCCTATGCATTTTTCTAAAGTCGGGTTTTATTCTGGCATCGTGAGTTAGTGTTCGACAAACGCGGCGGCGCGTTCATTTAGATTAATTTATTTATCTCATTATTACAGCTAAAATAACTTAATAGGCGACTCCGTAATTTTTTGGTCATACAGATAAGAGTAGAGTAGCTTACATCGTTCAAAACTGTAAACTTGTATTCATATTAGGCTAACGACAAAAACAGTATATCTGTCCTCTCTGTCTCCGGGAACTGCGCGTCACAAAAATGAACCGAAAGCCACTTCAGCTCAGTCACGATAAGAAATCGGCTATGTCTAAAGCCTTTAAATGTCTAAATATTTAGGCTAATAAATGTTATCTGATTATGTAGGCTAATCCATATGAAAACGAGAGGTACAGAGGATCTACTCAAACATGCGCTTCCCAATGAGAAAATGACAAGACATGGGTGAAAATCTCGCTCTAATTAAATGTAGGCTAAATCGCCCTGAATTAAAATGTAAAAACATAATAATGTATTTGTCGAAATGTTGCGATATTGTTTCATTTAAGTTCATAATTATTCTATAAATGTTATTTAATTTAGCAGCATTACCACGAAGCACCGTGTTTCGATATTTATTTGAATAATACAAAATAAAATAAAAACTTAATTCACAAATTGCATGCCTGGTTGTAAGGATCCAAAGATCCCTGTAGACTTTAATATTAAGTGACAACAAATTCACAAGCGTTTTTTCAGATTATATTTAGTTTTGCTTGGAAAAAGCTGCCCCAAACCAGTTTTATTTCATCAATTATTGAAATAATGAAATATTTAGTAATAAACTTTTATGACAGAAATATCACTAGGCTACATGTAACTTAAATCATTTAATTCCTTCATTATCAACACTGTCTAGAATGGCGATTTAAGTGTGAATTGCGACTTCTCTTTGTGTTAAGTCAGCCTCAGACTCCGATAGCCTGTGGGGGGTTGGAGGGACAGTTGCTGGACAAAGGTGTTAATGTTCCTCTTTCATATGGAGAGTGTCGGATAGCCAGCCTGATGAGCAGGCAAAATTATTGTAAGGATAAATCTGTGTCCAAATGTAGGCCCCATATCTTATTAAATTATAAATATTGTAGTTTATTTATTGTAGCCTATTTAAAGTTTTTTTTTCACACAAAATTTCAATTGAAGTTATTGTAAGGTGAATTCAACAAGGCATGCTGTGTCTTTGAAGCAACAATTAAAGGTTAAATAATTTTTTCGTGATTTGTATGGCTGACACGCAGCGACATATACAGTATTATGATGTGTTTTTACCCTGAAATGATTAATTTCGAGAGAGAGACCCGCGCGCGCAGCGAGGGAGACTAAATAAACTTGTTAAAAAGAGATCCAGCGCGAGAGAGGCAAAGAGAAACGCATGTTTTTAATTTAATTATGTTTCTTTGGACAATTTTCGTTTTGTAGGCCTACTGTTTTAATTGTTTAATTTAGCTGTAATTTCTTTGGCAATACAAATTTAAAATGTCGCAAGAATAAGATTAGCCTAGTGTTTCTTATTTTGCATCGCAAAAGAAATAAACTCTAAACAAGATGCAACCCTGTTTTAAATTAAACAATTTAAACCTTGAAATGTTCGAACTTGGTTTCAAACTTAAGTAATTTTAGTGTTCTTTTACATTACACAATAATTTAGCAGACTAAAGACGAGCTTCTTCATTTTCATTTTCTGATCGGCTGACAATCTTCATCAGTTTTTGTCGTTTGTGCAGCGGCTGCGGTTCTACAGGAATGTAGCAAATTTATGTTGTAATGATAATCAAACAAAACTCTTGACTTTAAATAAGTAAACAGATATAAACAGTTACCTATTTAAGCATCAAGGTGGGAAAATATAAACGTAGGACAACATCGGTTAACAACATGTATGCTACATTGAGATTCGATCTCGGGTGGATTGAAGCTCCTCGAAGCTCGTGTCGTTGCGTTGATCACTGAGCTGTCTTCTGTACGCTGTTAAAGTTGTAAAGCCTCATTCATGTAGCCTAAATGTTTTTATTGCAATGTTTTATGTTGAAATGTTTTCATTATTTATTCAATTACATTTCAGTAGCCTAATTTCAGTATTGTGATTATGAATTATTTTAACTACGTTTCACTTGTTGAATTCTTCTGCTACCAGCTTTCAATCGCTCTGAATCAGCGCGGTGCGGCAGCAGATTACGCATTAGAGAGAATAAACCGGAATAAACGAACACTTTTCAGAGTCTATGATTGTAGCGCCTCTTAGCGGTAAAAGGCAGCAAATACACCACACATTTTACCGCCGCGGTGGAACAGCTGATGTGGGCGTTGTCATGGCTTGCCTCGACATTTGCGTTTGAATAGCGCGCGTCGTCCGTGGGCGTGTCAGATTAACGCGTAATGAAGTGTAATGAGCTGGGGGAAAAAATACTGACAGCACTCTCTTTTCATACAGATTGCATAAACTGAGAATATTTGTTTTTTATATAAATTACTTCATTTAAAAGAAGAGAATTCAAGCTTCATAAAGAAAAACCTCTCGTGCCTGTGTGACAAGTAATCGCGGAGTTACAGTTAATCTTAGGACGCGTTTCAGAATGGACTTCACTGACAGAGAGAACGCAAAACTCGCATCATGTTTGTTTTTCTTTATTTGGTGAAAAGCACAACACTTTGTTTTTATTGTGAGTATCCACAAAAAAAATAGAAACTTAACAGGATCTAATGATGTACAACACTTATATGTAAGATCAAAATTAACAGAGTAATTTGAGTCTCTTTTGCACTGATAAGGAAAAAAGTGAGCTGGTATCGCCGGCGAGACCGCCGACCCCAGAGAGTTAACTATAATAACTATAGTGATAATAATAACTATTATGATAACTATAGTGAAAATAATAACTATAACAATATCTATAGTGATAACAATAAATATATTGATAACTATTGTGATAATAATTACTAAAATAGCTATAGTGATAATAACTTTACAGATAACTATAGTGATAATAATATCTATAGTGAAAATAATAATTATACCGATAACTATAGTGATAATAATTATACCGATATCTATAGTGAAAATAATAATTATACCGATAACTATAGTGATAATAATAATTATACCGATAACTATAGTGATAATAATAATTATACCGATAACTATAGTGATAATAATAATTATACCGATAACTATAGTGATAATAACTATCCTTATAACTATAGTGATAACAATAACTTAAATAACTATAGTGATAATGATAATTATACCGATAATTTTGGGAGTAATAACTATATGGATAGATAACTATAGTGATAAAAATAACTATAATGATAACTAAAGCAATGATAATAACTATTCCGATAAATATAGTGAAAATAACTATACCGATAACTATATTGATAATATTAACTATAGTGATAACAATAACTAAAATAACTATATTGATAATAATAACTATAATGATAACTATACCAATAACTATATTGATAATATTAACTATAGTGATAACTATACCGATAACTATATTGATAATATTAACTATAGTGATAACTATACCGATAACTATATTGATAATAATAACTAAAATAACTATAGTGATAACAATAACTAAAATAACTATATTGATAATATTAACTATAGTGATAACTATACCGATAACTATATTGATAATAATAACTAAAATAACTATAGTGATAATAAAAACTAATATAACTATTGTGATAATAATAATTATACCGATAACTTTAGTGATAATAACTATACGATAACTATATTGATAATAATAACTATAGTGATAACAATAACTAAAATAACTATAGTGATAATAATAATTATACCGATAACTTAAGTGATAATAACTATACCGATAGATAACTATAGTGATAATAATAACTATAATGATAACTATAGCAATGATAATAACTATTCCGATAGATATAATGATAAATATAAAGCATGACGGATTCTGATTGTTAATGTTTATATTGTTTATCAGCTGGAAAAAAATCGCTCTGATAGTGATTCCACTGATGTCATTCCTCTGTGTCTTTATTATAGCTGTGATGTGAACTGCTATCTTAGAGTTAAAGCCATTATTAAAATTACTTTATAATCATCATTGTAGTTATGTTGTAGTTATGGCTCTTGGTGTGAATGAGGGACTGTGTCGTGTCCAGCGCTGGCCTGTGATTGGCTGACAGTGACAGCACGTGCTCAGAGGGAGGCCTGTGATTGGCTGACAGTGACAGCACGTGCTCAGAGGGAGGCCTGTGATTGGCTGATGGAGAATGACATTATATAGAGCAACTCGAACACATTTACTCTTCAGTTTCTCCTCATCGTGTCTGTCATCGTTTATTCATGTCCTTCAAACCCGCTCTTCACTCACTGATCATCAGCCTCATAATTCTATTCACATGACTGTGTTTTAATGCAATTATCTGTATGATGAATATTTAATTAATTATTCCCATTGTGATGAATTTATAATGAGTGTTTGAATTTCATTTCAGTTTTATTATCATTATATTCATATTTTGAATTGGCTTTTATTTTGATATTTTTAGTTTTCATGTTTATTTTTAGTATTTTCATTATGTGCTTTTGTCTTTTTTTTAATATATATTGCTATTTAAGTTAATTTTATTTTTGTTTTATTTTAGTTATTTATTGATTTTCAGTTCATAATTTTTGTGTTTTAACTTATGTCCAAGGTACCATTTGTAAATTTCATTTTTTTTTTGTTTTTCAACTTTTCCTATGTTTATATTTGATGTTGTTTCAGCTTTATTTGAATGAACAGAAATGTTTGTAACAGTTTTATTTGAGGATCCGCCCCTGAATCTCGGCCTCTGTTTCTCCTCAGCCGATATATGGGGCCCACTCTGGAACATGATTGGCCCGGGCAGGACTAGAGGACACGTGATTGGTTGAACCTCAACCCAGGAGTGTCTGACGATTGGCTGAGAGAGAAGAGAGGCGGAGCCTGAGCAGGTCGACCGACTCTACAGTCTTTCTTTCTCTCCTTCTCTCTCTCTCTCTCTCAAACACACGCTGAGAGAATATATATATATATGTATATAGGTGATATATAAATATATATTTCTCAGATGTGCCTCTCTCTCTCTCTTGCTGTCTTTGTCTTTTTTGAGCCAAATGGACGACAATCAGCATCTCGAGGCCGAAACAATCACACCGATAGCACAAAGAAAATCATCGCAGACGGAGAGAGAGAGACAGCACTCGTTCTCTTCCCATCATCTCTCTCTCTCTACTGCAGGAGTGTGTTTGTGTACATGAGTGCGTGTGTGTGTGTGTTTGATCAGTTGCAGCCTCAACTTCCTAATAATGACTCTTGTTTTTTCAAATGATGTATTGAGGGGCTTGATTCTTTCTGAGCCAATCAGACGCTGCCGTGCCGCTCAGAGCCCCGCCCCTTCCTGTCTCCTCTCCGTGCCTAAAGAGCTCACTGAGAACAACAGGGCAAGCGCAGCCTCCACGCGGGAGTCGGACACTCGCTCTATCTCATGCTCACGTGGATGTGGATCTCCGAACACGAGACGTCTGCCGTTCGTACAAGAGTTTCAGTGATTCAGATGAAATCATCATCATAACTCATCATAACTGAAGCTGTCGCTCTCAGACGCCAGTGCGCCGCTCCCGTTGCTCGTCGTGTTATTCACACGCCTTTCACCGGCTTCATTTGATCAAGTCCATCATCAGATGCACAGACTCTCAGCTCTTCACCACAATCCGTCAAAATAAAAGTTCGGTTTAACTTGAAGAAATTGTGACAGAAATTATTAAAGAATTCTAAAAAAAAAAAAAATTATATAAGAAAATATTACTATTGTACAGCAGAATGTATTTCTCAAAGTAATAATAATAATATAAATAATTAAAAAAATATTAAAACTTTATTTTTAAGGACTATTAGACAATCTTCTGTGTTTTAATTTTTATCAGAAAGCCTGTCGTGCAGCACTTAAAACATTAAAGGAATTGCACTTTCATTTTAAAAACTTAATTAAATTGTTGATATTTTATGCCTTAATTTGATCAATACCACCGTTTTTGTACATGTATTTGTATTAAATCATAAATTTAGAAAAAATTATAGCAGAATTTGGGAAAAATAAAACATTTATTATTTCATTAAGAAAGTTGCATGAAATCACTTGATTAGACATGCTTTAAAAAAAAAAAAAAAAAACATTCAAATGGAATCCAGAAAAGTTAAAACAGAATTTGAGAAAAATTAAATAGAATTTAAGAAAAAATTAAATAGATTTCATAACCCTAACCCTAAAATGTGTTTTTTTGTAAAAGTTTTAATAGATTTTTGTTCAATTGTTTAAGTTTCATGATTTCAATTAATTAGACGTGCTTTTTAACTAATGTTTGATTTTAACATTAAAACGGAATGGAGAAAAATATAATATATTATATATTTTTAGCATGACGTGTCGTCAGAAGTTTCATATTGATGCTTCCCTACAGATGTTGCCTATTCATATTTTTCATGAAACGGTTTACTCCAGTATTGTGTGTGTGTGTGTGTGTGTGTGTGTGTGTGAGAGAGAGCATGTGTGTGTGTGTGTGTGTGTGTGTGTGAGAGAGAGCATGTGTGTGTGTGTGTGTGTGTGTGTGTGTGAGAGAGTGTGTCCTGATCATCAACGCTTCAGTCGACCGTCTGCGGCTCACTGGGTCTGAGAACAGCGATTGTGCTTCATTCACACACACACACACAAACCCGAACACACGGTCTCTTACACACACACACACACACACACTCTCACACACACTCTGACGGGCTGCTGATTTCTGTACATAGAGTCCAGATTGAAAGTTTCTCTCATTTTAAGTGGGTTGAGTTTTTCTCTTTTCTTGGTGTTTGGTGGATGATACTCATATACGCCAGTCGCTGCTGGGGCTTTAGTCACTTACTTTCGTCTTTATTTACCTTTTCTGTTGGAAGTATTACTTTGGTCTGCATTTCAGGTAATAATAGTTATGAAAAAATGATGATAATGAACAGTGTTTCTGTGCCTACAGTTCCCATACTGAGCTCTGGTTGGCTGAACACGAGCACGTGTCGCCATTGAGACGCTCTGATTGGCTGAACACGAGCACGTGTCGCCATTGAGACACTCTGATTGGCTGAACACGAGCACTTGTCGCCATTGAGACGCTCTGATTGGCTGAACACGAGCACTTGTCGCCAGTGAGACGCTCTGATTGGCTGAACACGAGCACTTGTCGCCAGTGAGACGCTCTGATTGGCTGAACACGTGCACGTGTCGCCATTGAGACGCTCTGATTGGCTGAACACGAGCACGTGTCGCCATTGAGACGCTCTGATTGGCTGAACACGACCACGTGTCGCCATTGAGACGCTCTGATTGGCTGAACACGAGCACGTGTCGCCAGTGAGACGCTCTGATTGGCTGAACACGAGCACTTGTCGCCAGTGAGACGCTCTGATTGGCTGAACACGTGCACGTGTCGCCATTGAGACGCTCTGATTGGCTGAACACGAGCACGTGTCGCCATTGAGACGCTCTGATTGGCTGAACACGACCACGTGTCGCCATTGAGACGCTCTGATTGGCTGAACACGAGCACGTGTCGCCAGTGAGACGCTCTGATTGGCTGAACACGAGCACGCGTGTGTGTACACAGCCATGGTGTGTGTACAGGGGTCAGTTATGCTACGACAGATCGTGATCGTGTATCTTTTCCCATCGTGTAGCACTAGTTCTTACTGCTATGAGTTCATGACGAACGGGAACCACCCGCTAATTTAGCCATAGACACGGACAAGCCATAGCATTGACCTCTGACCCCTGACCCCTGACCTGATTCAGGAGCGTAGGATGTATATATTTATATATTTACTCATGGAAATATTCTCGAATGCGGGAGAGATTTGTTGATTCTAGAGTGCAGCATCTCTAAATATGGAGTGATGTTTTGAATGTTCATATTATGATTATTATTATAAAGATATTATTATATTCAAATATGATTATTATTGTAATTATGAATTTCATTTTATTGACAATGATTGATAAACAGAAATGTCTTTCTTTTTGTGAATATGGAGAAGTTTACATTTTTCTGGGGAAATATTACAAAACTTTAAATATTTCAACAAACAAATAAATAAATATATACATGCTTAACAAAATATGTGTTTTTATTTGATGGATCTGTTTATTTTAGGGCCTGAATGTGTTTGAGTTTATTAATACACTGAAAGCTTCATCACGTTACACTAAAATAATATTTAATAAAAGAACATTGGAGGTTTGGGGAATGTGCAGAACTTTGTAAATGTGTCAGTATTATTTGTAAGAATAAATGTGTTATAAAAAATTATAACAATAGAATTTCTGAAAAATAAAACTTTTCATTATTAATGTAAAAATTAATACATTATTTCATTGTTGAGAAAGTTGTATGACTTTGCTTGATTAGACATGCTTTTTGATTATAAAAATGTAATCGAACCATTAAAATGGAATCTAGAAAAGTTAAAACCGTAAACAGAAAATTTGCTTTTTGTGAAACTTTTAATGTTTGTTTCATGATTTCAAAAAAATTAGATGTGCTTTTTAAGTAATGTTTATTTTAACATTAAAATGGAATACAAAAATATTTAAATGAAAACTAAATTTAGGAAAAAAATTCAACGTATTTAAACTAAAATGTATTTTTTGTTAAACGTTTAATGTGTTTTTGTTCAATTGTATGCTTCATCACTTTAAAGGTGGTTTTTGATTTCTAACATTTAAATTACCCCTTAAAATGGGATTTAAAACATATTTAATTTAATACAATTTACAGCTTTATAAAGTATTGTATGTAGTTAAACAACATTAAACGTGTTGTACTTCTGCCCCACAGCCTTGTTGTCATGCCTGTAAAACACTAAACATAGTGAGTAAGGCTAGCTAATTTGCATATAAAATGCATTCTTGCATTGCATTCTTTATTCATCATTTTGTAGTAGAGATAAAAAAAAAATGTTTTACAGAAAAGGTACATCACCACCCTGCTCCGACCAAAGTCCGCCATATTGGAACGGTCAAAGACGGTCCGTGAACATGTAAGAGCAAGTTGACTGTGTCTGCTAGTGCTACCATAGTTTGACGCATGAATAACTATATATGAAATAGACTTCAGCAGATGATTTTACCAAACTAACACATTACAAGACCAGCGTCAGCTAACATGACATTGAAAAGATACCATAAAGTAAAAACATGTAATATTGAGTTAATACATATAAAAATCAACACATTCTCACCTATGAAAGGTTATCCCGTTTCATTTCTTCTTCGGAATTTAAATCTCATCGGTTACGCAACCAGAATCTGGGCAATGTTGTGGCATCATTGATGTTACTGTGAGTGACGACATCACTGACCGTTGCAAGATGGCGGACGCGTCGACGTGTCTGGAGCTAGAGCGTCAAATGTGCCATACGTCAATATAACTATGTACAGTAATACAGAATTGCTAAAATTACACCAACATCGATTAATATATTTAATATTAAAAAAACTATTGAAATTATTACAGGAATATACATAAGATAGACTCTTCTTTTAACCAAATTAGTTCCCCGTGAGGGGGTGCACCGTTCCTGGAGGTACTGCAATACCAGGTCGATGCGTGGAGTGGACGGAGCAAGCCCCTATTCCATCTCCCTGATCCAAAAATCAATTTAATATATGGTCCCCGGGTAGGGGACGTATCAGATATTAAACTGATAAGAACAGATACTACACTTGATCTTAGCCAAAAGGCCGAGAAGCGATACTGAGAATGGGTTCGAGCTAACCGACTGACTCAGCGCGATACACACCTCAATGACGGTCACTCGGTCTGAGATCAGGAGAAACTCTTCAAACTACAAACACACACTCGAGAAATCATGTCCCGCTCGGAGACTGAGAGAAACGCGGAGATTCTCACAAATAACAAGATGAAAACCTCCTCAAAACATGCGGATTCAACCGTTAACCCTGAGTTTACCATCGGCCAATCAAACACGAGCACAGAGTCCATCGGCCAATCAAACACGAGGACAATAAACGACTGCTTTATCTCCGTTATTAGTCTCTGTTAATCTCGAGAAATTCACTATTTATCATGAAATAGTTAAGTGAAATCTCTCAGGGTGAATTCAGACAACAAATTCTGAAAATAACACCGAAGAAAACGATGTTTTTTGCACACTTTCATTCGCTTGAATGCGGTACTGCACGTTCAACGTCACTCACTGAGGCGTTTAATTCCTGACCGTTTCTGACGAGTCGATGAAACTCTTAAAACACAACAAAATAGCAATCTATATTTTTTTACAGAAACTGCAAACATGTGCCATAATGCTACGGATAAGTTTCAAAATCACTTCAAACTCATTAACTTAAGGATGGGAAACAATAAAAAGACACTCAACATTAAGATTGACGTAAGTAGGCCTATAAAATTACAGAAAAATCACCTCACAGCTTCGTAATGACCGCTAAAAACCACCAAAATGTATTACACGGTTTTTTTTCACTTAACAGTGACATCTTAAAGACCCATAATTCCGTGCTGTGTAAAATTTTTAATAGCCTACTTTTGTGTTACAGTCCCAAACCCTTCCAGAATCCTCAGCAAGCTGTCTATCTGATGCAGTGAAATATGGTTGTAAGTGAATGGGAGGCAACATTTTATTCCAAATTAAATACCTTCAATACAAGCTTTCCCCAATCAATAATAATAATAAACCTGGTGTGTCCTCCATGATTCCTATTCTTTCCGACAGCAAAGCACTCGAACGCGACATCAGAAGTGGGAAGTAGGAAATGTCCGATGTCACGTGAGGGCAGCACATACTGTAATGTGATTGGCTGAGCAGCAGGAGGCGCCAATGTGAAGCTCCAGAAAACACGAGGAACCTGACGACAGATCAGACGGACACGTGACTGGAAACGTCCAATCATTCAGACTCAGATTAATCTCATGATCTGAACATGAATGATGAGGGACTGCACGAGTGTGATCTCTTATCTTACGTGAATTATGAATGAGATTTGCACATATAAATGAATATTTTTACAGCATATGATATGATCGTTGGATATGTATGATGAATAAAGCACTGCATCAAACAAATAGTTTTGAGATAACTTTAATGCTTTTGGCAATGATTTCTTACAGAAATTGCTAAACTGATTCATTTTCAGTGAATAATAATAATAATAAAAAAATCCAGGAAATTAAAAAGTAAATTGATAATTTAAAACAAACTAAAAATTTGAACAGTAAAATAGTAAATAGAAATATTTAAACTGACGCACTTCTCAAATTCTAGTACATTTCCAATAGCGTCTTTAGAACACAATAAAAAATTACAATCAAACCCCTGATATTTCTAAAAAGAGATCAGCATATTAATATTTGCAATAAAACAAATTACACAAAGAGATAAAAACGGACAGAATCTTGAACAAATAATTTGAAACGATTATGTATGGTAATAAACAGCAGTGCATGAGGATACAATATTGCTCTGAGTTAATTGCATATATATATATATATATATATATATGCGTAAATGCATAAATATGGGATTTTTTTACCGTCTGCATCAACAATATCAACATTCATAAAACACATGCAACCGTTCCAGACATTCACGCAAACCTGAGATGCAGCGCTTTCATTATCTTTAAATAAATGCTATAATTCCTCTAGGATTTACTGAACATGAATGACCCTAATTAACCTGAGATCTTCTCGTTAAAGCCGGTGACGTCATCACTCATGCACATGCGCTCATGCAGAACCTGGTGCCGAAACCCCAGCAGAACGTTTCAGAAGAGTTGCAGCTCATCCTCATCTCACACACGTCAGCAGCACATCCACAGGGCAGGTTAATCACAGACATCGGAGACGCCACGAGTTCTGCAGACGAGAGATTGTGAAACGAGAAAATATGGTTTTCTTTCATGTGAAAACATTCTTTCATCACTTTAATTGTTTTGAGAAATTGATACAAATCAACCATTTGAGTGCATTATGAGTCCATTAAAGTGAGAAAAAATTATTTTAGCATGAGATTTAATAGTTTTTTTTAGCGTTTTCGTTTAAATTTAATAGTTAGTTTTAAAAAAAAAAATCTTCTAAATGTCTATATAGTTTTATTTTAAAAAATCTGATTTAGCTCAAATTATTTAATAACATCTAAGTTTTTTATATTTTATTTTAGTAAAAAAAAAAATCTAAAGCAACAAAAAATGTTTTAGTTTTAGTTTGTCAATTGTAATAACTCATAATCTCAGTTAATTTTGATAATTTTCTCCAAAAACGAGACTTCATAAGTAATTTGGCATCTCCAGTACATGTTTCTTGATTTAAAGGAGGAGTGCACTTCAGAATTAAAATCTCCTGATAATCTACTCGTCATCCAAGATGTTCATCTCTTTCTTCAGTCGAAAAGAAATGAAGGTTTTTGAGGAAAACAGTTTCAGTGCAGCTTCAAAGTCTCGACACGATCCAGCCGAGGAATAAGAGTCTGATCTAGACAAACCAGCGGACATTTATAACAAAATACACATTTATATACTTTTAAACCACTAATGCTGGTCTTGCTCGAGCTGTGGTGCGACACACATTACGTCATCAGGGTGAAAGGATATAAATGTGTATTTTGTTATAAATGTCGGCTGGTTTGTCTAGATGAGACTCTTATTCCTCGGCTGGATCGTGTCGAGACTTTGAAGCTGCACTGAAACTCACATCTGGACCTTCGACCCGTTGGACCCCATTGAAGACACTATATGGAGAAACCCTGGAATGTCTTCCTCAAAAACCTCAAATTCTTTTCAACTGAAGAAAAAAAACATTGGATGTCTTGGATGACGTGGGGGAGAGTAAATTATCAGAAATTTTTTAATTCTGAAGTGAACTCCTCCTATAACCCTCTGGTGCTCCTCGCGTGTTAGTCAAAAATGGTCAAAATGAAGTGTAAAAAGCTTTAAAAAGTGACCTTAAAAAAGTTTTTTACATTTGTTGTTATGAAAAATGTGCAAAAATACTATTTCACATTTTTATATGAAATGTATATTTTCAAAAACATGTTTTACTCTAAAACTTTGAGAAAATCAAAGCCATAAATCTAAACAAGCTGTGTTAAAAATTAGCTTTTAGTAAGAGTTTGTTTGGCCGCAGTACCAAACGCTTCCACTAGATGAGATTCGTCTCCCATTCATGATTTTTGCGTTGATTTTGTGTGTGTGTGTGTGTTCACACACATTCCGAATTTCCGATGAAGAAAACAAAAATCTAGAAAAAACCAATGTAAAATTTTTCGGACAAAATTGACCGAAGAGCGCCAGAGGGAATGTTCAGATATTTGTGCTGGAAAAGAGAGAAACCCTGCGGATGAAGATCACAGGGCATTCACACGGGGAGCTTCATGCATCTTATGCACTGTGGATATGTTGGGTTAGTAGCACCTGGAACAGGCTCAGATCAGCTTCATGGTAAACCGGCCCGTTTCCACGGTGGTCCGACCGGTTCCGTTGGCCGACGCGGAGCTGCGCGGGACGAAGTCGATGGTCGCCGTGTGTTTGATCTGCCCTTTGCTCTGACTCCAGAAGAACATGAACACGAAGCACACGGCGACGGAGCTCAGGAACGACAGGAACCCCATAGTCACCGCGATCACTAGCGTCTTCACGTCGAACGGGAATGGCTGCGACCCGTTAACCGGCGCTTGTCCCGACGTGAAGCTCCAGCCTTCCAGAAAGAACGGCCCTGAACGGTTTCGAGTGGACGCCGGAAACCCGCGCACACGCAGGCTAACGGAGACGCTATCGTTCCCCGCGGCATTCGAAGCGATGCACAGGTAGTATCCGCTATCCTGCACCTGCGCGTAACGCACCTCAAGCGTCCCGTTGGGAAGCACACGGACCCTCCCCGAACCGGTGAGAGCGGAGCGCTTCGGGTTCATCCAGGTGATCACCGGCGCCGGGTCTCCGTCCGCCACGCAGAAGAACAAAACCGTGTGGCCTTCGTCCGTACGAACGTCTTGCGGCTTACGGGTCAGAATGCGAGCTTGCCGGCACGTGAACAACCGGGGAAGCTCGACCTCGGAGAAGTCGTGGAGCATCCGGCCTTGCACCTGCACAGGTGAGCCACAGGTGGGCGAACGCCCGAAGCTAATCCGCGAGCGTCGGCGCATCACCCAGAGAAGTCGGCAATCGCACGCTAACGGGTTCCCGTCCAACCGGAGCACTTCTAAAGTCCCGACCGAGTGGAACGCCGACGACTCCAGCGTCGCTAATCGGTTCCCAGACACGTTTAGGAGCCGGAAGCCCGCTAGGTTACGGAAAGCGCCCGGTTCGATACGCAACAATCCGGCGCCGACTAAATGCAGCTCTTGAAGGCGTAGCAAATCCCCGAGGAGATTTGGAAGAATAATAGTGATTGGATTGTAGGATAAATCCAGGTATCGCAGGTACACGAGGTGGTGAAGCGGGGAATACGGCACGGCACTCAGGTTGCAGTGGCTAAGCGTTAGCGAGGAAAGATTAAGTCCGATTAGGCTGTT